CTGTAAACACTGGCCTAGAAATAAGTCTGGCTCTAATGCACCCCCTCCATCATGATCTCCATGTCTGTGGCAAATCACAGACCCTGGATCTTACACACAGCATTTAAGTTTAAGCAGCAAAAATAAAAATGTATCAATCAGGATAGAACCCTGACATTGTGAGTATCAGGAACCGAAGATTATTTTGAAAAAACAGTAGGCATAAACACTGGGGAAACTTGCAACATTAGTGACAAATGGTGCTCTTCCTTCAATATTTAAAACCAACTGATTGTCCAAAACAGTTTTCCTATTCACTTTATAGTCTTTTATTCATTTATTCTGGAATTATTTAACAGCTTTGAACCAAGTAAAGTTCACTAACAGAAGGGAACAGCAAATTGACTCACTAAAATTGCCTCTGAAAACTACATGAGAAGTATATTACACATTTATTGCAGCTAAGATAAAAGACATGACTGATGGGAAATAAGGAGAATAAAACAAAAATATTATTTTAAAATGATGTCACACACACAATTTCACAAGAGAATGAGCTGCAATTCAGCTTTATTTTTCACATCATTTCTATATATTTTATACATATATATACACATATCATAGATATACACTTGTAATTAAAAAGTCCATATAAAACCCAAGTACTACAAAGGTGGAAATGGACATACTGCAGTAGATTTATTATACTTTGCTGTTTGAATACTTTTAAAATAAATTTTCAAGGAGACAACAAATTAAATACCATTACATTTTCAGAGGGCTCCATCATTCAAGTACATTCGATTGAAATAATAAGCCACATAACTGGCTGCAAAGCCCAGCAAAACAAACCATAATATTAAACAAAACCAGAGCTTTCTTGATCATTATTCTTAAACCTGGAATCAGCTTCTAATGCAAAGTGCAGAGCATGACTGTGATTCTGTCCTTACACCATAAAACACCATGCTGACAACTCATCCTATATGTTTACTTAGATACTTGTTTAAAATAAATACTAAACAATTCAGTAAATAAATACCACAAATAACAACGTCTTGATTTATAAAACAGTACATCTCTTTCAATGTGCTTGGCAACTAGACATCACACCTGAAGGAGTTGTTTCAACACCCAAAGAACAAAAACATGTATGTAACTCCTAAAGGATTCAGGAATCAATTCAGCTATTGCGCCCACATTACAGATATCACAGTAGACAAAGAAACTTAAAATAATGTTCATCACCATAATTTTATCATGCTTAAAATAAATCATTGAGGTACAAAAGCATTCCACAACTTACCCGCAGTTGTGAATGGAATGAAGGGTAGATAAACAAAGGCATCTCTCATCTAAACTAAGCAAGTACTACACCCTAATACATGCATTCTCTTATGATCAGATCAGAACAATTGACATAATTTAGGAAAGTCTGCTTAACCTGCTGATATTAGGAAAAACTTACTCTAAGACTATACTTATCATATACTACTAAAGATTGCAAATGCAACATGATCATTTTCTGGGTCAGGCAAGTGGTGAGTTACTTATTAAATATGACACAAACTGATTGACAGGACAAGATTAACAATAAAAACTCAAATAAACAAGTTCTAAGGAAGACGCCTATTAACATGATGTTTTAGAAACACTAATATACAACCTCAAAAATGTAAAAGACAGTTCCGCTGATGTGAGTTTGTCACTACAGACACATTAAAACACCTCCTAATTAGCCTGCTGCCCTCTATGGAAGCGGTCCAGCAGCGCACTTCTAATGTTCCCCGGTATCCTTTGGTGCTTATCAATCAGGGCTTGAAGAGCATTCTTGGTCTAGTTAGAAAACAAAAGAAAAGCCACTATTGGCTTGGCCTCAGTACACATCAATCATCTTATAGGATTTTCATGTTATACTACTTGTAAAAGAACTTCTCTCCCACACCCATGTCTTGCAGGGCACTGTGTATGCTTTCTTCTAGCAATTTTACTATTTCAGGTTTCGGGGTCTTGTCAGGGGCTCAGTAGAGGGAGAAATGGGAAGGGGTTCAGTGGGAATAGACTCAGTTTTTTCATAGTAAAAATCTTCAAGATAAACATGGATCTATTTAACAGAACTGAACTGTAAGTATACCGATTTTTGTTTTGTTTCATCTTGTTTTGATTAACACAGAGTCTAGCTATACAGGTTAGCCTGGCCACAAACTCACAGAGACCCACTTACCTCTAGCCCTTTCCCCAGAGCTGAGATTAATATCACATTAATTGTGCATCACCATGCTCAGCAAACTCACATATTTTCCATCACAACTCAAAATGTTTTAAAAGAATCTCACTAGTATAGTATAGAAAGGTTGGCACAAAGGTTATAACCAAAACATACACAGGAAGAGAGATTGGCTCAGTGGTAGAGCACTTGCCTAGCACAAGCCAGGACGGTTTACTGTTATTTTTCATAGTTTTAGACTCTCTCAAAGCTTAATCCCTCCCAAGTAAAGCAGTCTTTTCTCATCCTCATGACTCTTTATCGCTTTGCTAGATTACTGATCATTTCAACACTTTACAAATCCCCACTGCCTTCTGCCTTGTAAACCTTGAGGCTTCCAATCACAGCACAAAACCTGACTTCCAAGTCTTTAGCATCAATTCTGCCTTTTTCCTTAACCCTCATTCTTACTATTAAAATTTTAGATATAGAAACGTATTTTTAGATTTCCTACAGATGTCTATAAATCTATCCCTGGCTTCTAAACACTAAATGTCTACAGTCACACCCATCCATACTCTTTCATGTCAGTAAAAATGTCACTGCCTTGCCAAATGTCTCCAATGGGGCAAAATCACCAAGCATTTCTGGAATATAATACATAAACAATGAAATTTCAAATAATTTAAAACAAAACTCTGTCTTAAGACTAAGAAAACACAAATTACCTTTTCAGCTAGCTCTTCTGCTGTTATCTTTGGGTCATATGGAATGGGATCACCTAAGTAGGTCCGCAACTTCACGGGAAAACCTCCATACAATGGAGCAAAGGGATAGCGGAATTTTTCATAAAGCCACTTAAATAATCCTGTTTTAAAATAAGCAAAATCATTTTATTAGCCAAATGTGCTATGCACAGAACCGTAAGCTTTCTAATTAATTACACAAGATTTGCACGAAGGTGGCAAAAATACCAATTCTTACCAATTAATATGCGAGAGTGTGTGTGTGTGTGTGTGTGTGTGTGTGTGTGTGTGTGTTAGGATTCTGAAGCTGGGTGCTGAATCCAGTTCCTCACACATCCTAAACAAGTGATCTACCACTGAGCTACAGGACTAGTAGAGCATTTCCTAAATGGAAGCTTTTCATCAGCTATAACAAATGCACCAGCAATGTGCTCATCAGGACAGAGCCTAGAGACTGCTGAAGAGACATACAAGAATTTTTTGTGCTTGGAACTCAGTTTGTCTATAAATTTGAAAATAAAAGGAAAAATTAAATCAATTTATTAAGAGACCAAATAACATTTTAAAAACACAAGAATCTCAGAAGAAAACCCAGTGACTATTACTGGAAAACAAAGGCTGATAAGTGCCAGCAAAGCTGGAAGCTAAAACGATCAAGGACGAAGAGCAAATGATTTACAAGTACAAAAGAAAAGACAAAGGCGCACAGGCCCAATTCATGCAGCACCACGCACAGGCCTGCTAGAGATGACTATGTTTCAAACTCAGCAGGATTAAATTTAGAGGTATTAAAAGTAACTGGAGAAGGCTAAAAAAACAAAAACTGCAACAATGGAATCCAAAAAGGTAAGTTTCATGAAATACACAGTTATGTACTGAAAACAGATTACATATAAAAACAGAAAAATTACTGTTACATACAAAGTAACACTTAAAAAAATTAAAATTAGCCAGGTATGATGATGTATGCCTATAATTCCAGACTGGTGGGGATGGGGACAGAAGTAGGTGGATTTCTGTGAGTTCGAGGCCAAACTAGTCTCCATAACAAGTTCCAGGCCAGCCAATGCTGCAACAATGAGACTATGCCTCAAAAATAAAGAAAGACAACAGATACTTAATTTAGAGATACTGAGCTTTAAATTTAAGTAAAACTGAAAATCAGGTAAGTAGAATTTTGAAAATAACTTATAATTGAAGAAACAGAATTTCTGTAACATTTTCTGATTTGCTATTTAAAAGATTAACAAAAAATTAGAAATAATTTCTAAAGTTTAATATAAAAATGAGTTAAAACAAGGGATTTCTATGTGGATAGGAATAGCAACAGTTACAAAAAATATATTCAACTAAACATAATATATAAATCACAAGCTAAAAACAAGCTGAACATCTCCTGAGCAAATTGGGAGCATGGGGGAAGGGGAAAGGGAACTAGGAGAATGAGAAAAAGTGGGTTGAGGAAGACATGATGGGGCAGAAAGGTTGAGTTGGGGGAAGAACAGAAGACAGCAAGATAAGAGATAATATAATAGAGGGAGACATTATAAGTTTAAAGAGAAATCAGGCACTAGGGAAATGTCTGGAGAGCTACAAAGATGACACCAACTAACAATCTAAGCAACAGAGGAGAGGCTACCTTAAATGCCCTCTCCTGATAATGAGATTGATGACTAATTCATATGCCATAGTATAGCTTTCATCCAGCAGTTGGTGGAATAGAAGCAGACACCTACAGCTAAACCTTGAAGTGAACTGAAATCCAGTTGCAGTGGAGAACTGATGAGCAAATGGGTCCATACCAGGCTGGTGAAACACACAGAAACAGCTGACCTGAACACGGGAGAGCTCTTGGGCCCCAGACTGATGGCTGGGAAACCAGAAGGGGACTGATCCAGACCCCATGAATGTGGGTGTCAGTGTGGAGACCTTGGAGTATACTCCCTGACTGGGCCTAGACACAAGGGGCTTGGCCTAGGCCCTATCCCAAAGAATATGACGGACTTTGAAGACCCCCTATGGAAGTCCTCACCCTTCCTGGGGAGCAGAAAGGGTATGGGATGGGTTTCTTTCTAATAAAAAGAAAAACAAACAAGCTGAACATTCCAAAATGAGAGACATAAAGGAGAAAAAAATCCTAATTTTTATTCTTGCAACAGTATAAATCTATATATAAAGTGAATTTTTAATTAGCAAACTAAAGACAGATAAAAGAACTTATCAATGTAAACATCATGGTTTGTAATTTTTTTAATTAATAGGATAAACCAAAGCAAATGTCATCCCCATCTCCTTCGATGCCAATCTTAGTTTAATATGTAGGTCATCCAATTTGAAAGATAGTTTCTTCAGTTGGTAGTATATGAATATATTCTAAATCTCATCAACATAGTTTAACACAATATATTAGATGAATCACTCTTTAGTTTTAAAAAGGCCATTCAAATAATCTCTAATTATGTATATAATACCCTTAACAAAAACATAATATCTACCAGAAACTCAGGAGGCCAAAGCATGAAAATCACAAATTTGAGGCCAGCCCCAGTCCCTACAAAATAATAACTGCCATTACTTAGAAC